CCATAATTTTGGACTCAATTATGGTCATTAGTTGAGGACTACCTGTACAGCAGGTCTGGCACCAACAGCGGCTTTCCCTAGTCCACTTTTCTCCACCACCCCCAAGCCCTTACGTTCTGGTTTAGATAGAACCAAGGCAGAATAAGAGATGGAAGTACAGCCAGCCTACTTCTTATGCAGTGGATTACGCTGCACTTTATTATTACTGCGGAAGATCCCAGAAAATTAACCAGCAAGTAGCCTGACTTCAAGGGAGCTGTTACTGCCGTCACTGTTTTTTAAGAGTGAAGAACAAACCCAGTATATGCTACAGAACTGCTGTGAAATTCACCTGATGGAATTTATTTTAAAGGGAAGGGAAATACATCACAGGAGTGTTTGTTTCTAAAGAGGTGGGAGATGAATTAAGAAAAGTTGATTCTTCAGGTGGGAGATAAATCGGGGAGTTAATTTTACAGGTGGGAAATTAATTCTTGTTAAACCTAGGAGGTAGCTGTTTCTGGAAGGGAAGAAATAAATTAATAGTGTTAAAACAACTGGGAAAATCAATTACTTAAATTTGGTTAATTTCATATTTGATTAGAATACTTGTTTAATATAACAATCAGATTAATTGGTTGGTCCCTACCTCCTGATCAGAGTGTGGCCCCCAGCATGCTACTTTAAAAAGAAAAGAAAAGAAAGACACAATCTTGATTTAGACTAGAAGGTGTGAAGGGAGAAAGGAAAGCAACAGAGCAGGTTTTTTCTGGAAACTCTCCCATGGGAATGAAAGTGTGCACAGGAACATATTTTTTACTTAAGGGCATTAGGTGCCCCTGTCTACTCAGAAGTAAATCCAGTTGCTAACTGCGGTAATTCACAGGATTTTATTCACAATTAATTAATTAATTGTGAATTAATTAATTAATTGTTGACGATCCAAATTCTGTCAAGGACCTTGGAGTTCTCGTCTCTAATAATCTAAGTGCTAGAGCCCACTGTAACTACATAGCCAAAAAGGCGTTAAGGCGTTAAGAGTTGTTAACCCAATCCTATGTAGCTTTTTCTCTGGTAATATCACACTACTAACGAGAACATACAAAACATTTGCTAGACCAATACTCGAATACAGCTCATCAGTCAGGAAGCCGCATTATGTATCTGATATTAACACAGTTGAGAAAGTCCAGAAATATTTCACAACAAGAGTTCTCCACTCCTCTACTCGTTGCAGAATACCTTATGCCAGCAGACTTGAAATTCTAGACCTAGAAAACCTAGAACTACGCCGCCTTTGGTCTGATCCAAGTATAGTACATAAAATTATACATTGCAATGTCCTACCTGTCAATGAATACTTCAGCTTCAGCCATAACAACAGAAAAGCAAACAATAGATACAAACTCAAGGTTAACTGCACCAAACTTGATTGCAGGAAATACGACTTCAGTAACAGAGTGGTCAATGTCTGGAATACTCTACCTGACTCTGGGGTTTCTTCCCCAAACCCCCAAAAATTTAACCTTAGTCTGTCTACTATTGACCTCACCCCTTTCCTAAGAGGTCTGTAGGGGGCGTGCATAAGCGCACCAACGTGCCTACCATCTCTGTCCTATTGTTTCTTTTTTCTTTTTCTTTTTTTTTTCTTATATGTATCCATTTCATGTATCCATAACTATGTTTATACTTATACCTGTTATCTTATAATTGCTTGACAAAACAAACAAACAAACAAATAAATAAATAAAGTAAATCCCACTGTCACTAGCTCTTGAGAAATGGGCGTTAGCTTGCAATTAATCTTTTTCAAACATTTCCTAGGACTGTTTGTATTCCTTTGCACTTTTAACCTATGACTATCACTAAGTGTTGCATCTTATGATTCTTGATGAATGTATTTTGTTTTTACTTTATGTACACTGAGAGCTTACGCACCAAAGGCAAATTCAAATTCCAATCACACTTGGCCAATAAAGAATTCAATTCAGCTCTACTCTACTCTACTCTACTCTACTCTACTCTACTCTACTCTACTCTACTCTACTCTACTCTACTCTGTTCTATTTTATTCTTTAGTTTGGGAGGTACAGCATACTCTCACTTTCCAATCGGATGGCTTGCAAATGTTTAGGGTCAATGGCTTTTAAAACTGCCAATTGCCTTAGCAACACAAAATCAGACTTGGGACTTGCCCTTTGGAAGCTGGTATCCAGAGGTTGTCCACATACCTGACCATAGATGGAGCAGTCTGTTTATATCTAAGGGCTGCCCTGAACAATTTTATGAACGGCCAACCTGCGAAATAGATGGGGCCATATTACACATGAGAAGAGCCACTATTTGCTTTTCTATCCTAAATGTGGAGAGGGATTCCTTTTATTTGAAAAATCCCCTTTGTTCTCTCAAATGGAAAGAGTGCCATTAATTTTTTTTAAAAAATGCATGAAAGCAAAAGCCACTCTCAAGACACGCAGAACCTAACCTAACAGAGCAAAATCCAAGGTCAGCTTTCCACTAAATAGGCAGCTGCCTGTATATTAAAGAACTGAAGTCTGGGAAGCTCAGGCACTTGCAGATCATTGGAGGGGGAAAAAGATGAGACATGTACACCCTCCTTTTTAATAAAAGTAAATAAGTGCAAAAATATGACATAAAAATTGCCAAAATTCTTAACTAGGTGAGAAAAAGCTGAAAGCAAATTCTCTTTTAGCAAACAGACTACAAAAGATAGAAGGAAAAAAAAAGGCAGGAGAATGTATCTGCCTTAACTCCTTCTCAGGGCAAATTGTAGAGTTACCATCTATATCAGGGGGTCCCCAAACTTGGTGGACTTCAATTCCCAGCTATGCTGGCTGGAGAATTCTGGGAGTTGAAGTCCACAAGTCTTAAAGTTGCCAAGTTTGGAGACCCCTAATCTATATGCAGAAACCTGTCAGATGACAAGCAGGGGAGAACTGGCCTTATTCATGATGTTGCTTCAATAAAGCTGCATTCCTTCATCTTATCTATAACCCCTCATTCTCCTGCATCTGGCTGGTTGTCTCGGTAACATAGCCAATTACTAAGCCATATGGTTGCTAAGTCAGATTTAGCTTTTTTTTTGCTTTTGCTTTTTTTTTTTTTAAAGGCAGAAGACCTTAGATATCTTAGATATCTGGAATGGTAGGAATTCAGCCAATTTCCAAGCGATCAAATTCCATGCCTAGTAAACAGACCCAGATGGTGGAAATAACTCCTTATTTCAACGTGGATTTCAGGATAGCAATAGCACTTAGCACTTAGAGTTATATACCGCTTCATAGTGCTTTTACAGCCCTCTCTAAGCGGTTTACAGAGTCAGCCTATTGCTCCCAACAATCTGGGTCCTCATTTTACCCACCTCGGAAGGATGGAAGGCTGAGTCAACCTTGAGCCTGGTGAGATTCAAACTGCCAAATTGTAGGCAGCTGGCTGCAGAAATAGCTTGCAGTACTGCACTCTAACCACTGCGCCAGAGAGGCTCATGTGGATGATATATCAGTGATGTTTTTCAGCATCTTTTGAACTCCATGCTGAACAACCTAGTGGCATCTAGCAGGTCTCATAAATGTTCTGGGCCACTCCAAGTATGGGCAGCCCCTTCTTCCCGACCTCCATGACAGGGTTTTGTCTTTATATGTACCAGTAATCCTCGACTCGCAACCACAATTCAGCCCAGAATTCCTCTTGTTAAGTGAATTTTGCCCCATTTTACAACCTTTCTTGCTATAGTTGTGAAGTGAATCACTGCAGTTGATAAGTTACTAATCTGGTTGTTAAGTGAACCTGCCTTCCCCATAGACATTGCTTGTCAGAAGGTCGCAAAAGGGGACCACAGGATCCTAAGACACCGCAGTGGTCATAAATATGGACCAATTGCCAAGCACCTGAATTTTAATCACATGATCGTGGGGATGCTGCACAGATTGTAACTCTGAAAAACGGTCATGTCACTTTTTCCAGTGCCATTGTAACTTTGAATGGTCCCTAAATGAACTGTTGTAAGTCGAGGGCTGCCTGTATGAATATGCTGACTGGCCAAAGCTCACAGCTACAAAAATTTGGAGCTAAGCATCTCCTTATGTGCGAACATTTGCATTACAACAGGTGCCACCTTCTTCATACAATGAAGTGGGAGATTGGTCTTCCATGTATGTAGTCAATTCTCCTGTAATTACCTCAGGAGTATAAGGGATAGAGACAAAATTTATTTTTGTGAGTGTACAGAAGTTTGTCTGTGAATGTACATTGCACGTTAGTGCTACACCTGAGTGTACAGAAGTTTGTCTGTGAATGTACATTGCAGGTTGGTCCCCCCATTAATTTACATTTAATGGATGGTTTGATTTAGGAGTGTCTGCCATGAGGAAGGCCTAAAGAGCCAAGATGGTGGCCTCAACTGTGGGACTGAAACCACACCTTTTCTTACAAATCTGATTAAAGAGTGGTGGGGCTTTGTGAGATTGTGGCCACCATATCAGCTTTTTTTTTCCTACAGATGCCCCTGACCTAAGTGCTACCAATGTGAAAGAGGAAGAACAACTGGCCATTTGTACAGCAGCCAGATCAGGGGTTGTATTTCCACTCAGCTCATCAATGTAACTCCAAGATCTCTTTTCCTGTGTAGAAAATTAGCACTCACCCATCTCCTAGTTAGAAGAATGAAATATTTTAAGGAAATATTAAAAAGGCAGAATATTATATTTCCCTAAAGGGAGAAATGGAGAAACATGCTCTTGGAGACAGAAAGCAGCCCCCACCTTTCTTAATAGCAGATGTCAGCACTTAAGAGATAAAGAGATAGATAGCTCTATTCATAAGCAAATACCCTCACCCAAGATCCAACAAAGGTAGGACTAGTCCTTGGCCACAATAGGAATCGCCCAATGCCCCTTCATTGCATCACCCTCTGAAACTTCAACCAAACTTAGCTCAGACAAACATCTAGGATTTGTACTTTGCCTATAGAGCCAGCTGTGACCCCTACATAACCCCTACATGGCCCCATGGAAGTCTGACAACAGCCAATAGAAGACATGTTCTTGCACAGGAACAGGAAATTCAAGTGCAAAGCCCAAGAGAAGGTATAGAAACTGCCCACTCTCAACACCATGTGGTCAGCTCCACCAGAACCACAAACGTGGTCCTGTTAATCAATAAATGGACCCTCTTTCCAATCAGCCTCCAGCCTCCATTGTCTCTAGTGCCTTTCTCCCAGCTTGGAACAGAACCAGATGAATATTTCTTCCCACACCTGATTAGTCACAGCCAGCTCTGATTATAAAGCAGATGCAAAATTCTGCCTTATAGGTTCATATCTCTACTTGTTTGGTGTGCATATCTCTGCTTGTTTATATTGACCAGAGTTTGCCATTTTTATGCCTTTTTGCCCAATCTAGACTGGAGGGTTTTTTTTTGCAGTCCCTCAAATCCTCTTTTGATTTTCACTAGCAGTAGTATGGTATTGTTAGCTGGTCTGTAAAGAAGTTAAAAAGTATCAGGTTCAGCACAGACTTTAGAGGATCCTATTTCATAGATCTGTCCAATATGAAAACTTCTATTTTTGGTTCCTGTTCTGAATGAGTAGATTTATTAGCTTATCTCAAGGTGATTGCCTCTGGTAAAAGATTTTTTCCAGCTTTATTCTGCTGAAAGGATTTATCTTCCAAAATGAGTGCACCAAGCCATTCTAGATGTTTTTTCAATTAAGAGAAAAGTTGGCTTGCAGCCCAGGTCCTAAATGAAGTTGTACAGTATAGGATTGTTTTGTCTCATATATTTTCTAATTTTGTACATTTTATAAAAAACTTCCAGTGACTTAAAAGAATAAACTAAATAACAGACATACGAAGCTCTGAGCTCCTAAAGAGTTCAGATGTAGGATCAGATCAGATCTTCTCCATTTTGTGCTTCCTTTTAAAAGTGGCTGCAGACGGATAAAATTTTCATCAGAGACACTGTGCCCAGGAAGGATGCATTAGCTTTTTCCTTATATACCCCTTTCTTCAAGTCACAATGTGAAAAGAGTTACTAATCTCACTTTTTTTTTGTTTCCCTGCTTTGGGACTGAGGGTAGCTTCTAGAGACATCTGGTTCAATCAGAAAAATAACCCAGGAAAAAGGTTAATGTTTCCTCTTTCAGAGCTGATCAAAATCTCAATCACCTCTCCTCCTTAAGGTTGTTTTTTTTAAAAAAAATCAAGAGAGAGATCTAATTACAAATCGATTGCATTGTGTCTGCTTTAGACCTGAATCATAAAGTCCACTAATGAGAAATGGGTGGCCACATAGGCCTCACCACAGAAAAGGAAACAATGCAAAGAAGAGGTCAAAGGATTGCACACATGTCCACAACATTTCCATGCACTAATTTACAGTATATGTATTCTTGTACATCCCAAAGGTGCTTTTTCAAGAGGCAACTGGACTTTTTTGTTTTTTCTTTGAAGACGTTTCGCTTCTCACCCAAGAAGCTTCTTCAGCTTTGACTGGCTGATGGGGAATGGAAGGATTTATACCACGGGTGGGATCTGACTAGTGTAACTACCGGTTCGGTGATTTTATGTTTTACGCTTTGCGCACGTGAGTGTATCGTCATCGGCTAGCTGCCTGGACAGCTGAGCAGTGCTGCATGTGGGTGCGCAGCAGTTGAAAAAGCCCCCTTTTCCTGCTTTTTCAACCCCAGCTGTGTTGTGCAAAGCAGCTGCGGTTGAAGAAGCAGGAAATAAAGGTCAGGTAAGAGCCCAGGTGGGCAGGTGAGCCAAAACAGCAGCAGACATAGAACTGGTTCTATGTATTCTCTCTGTCTGCTGCTTTTCAGAGCTACCAGTTCCACAGAGGTGGTCAGAACTGGTAGAATCCCACCCCTGATTTATACTCCTTGCAGACAGCTGGTCATTTGCATTCTTTTAGAGAGTTGTTGAAGCCACTTGGAGGTTTATTTGTGTCCTCAGGGTCATGGGTGCGGACCCTTCTTGGAACTCCTGAAAGGACAGTGTTGTAGAGCCATGCTTTCTGCAGGATGTTTTCTGCCCTGTGTCCCTTCAGTGTTGAACACAGGTGCAGGCTGTTGGGAATAAGGCTGTGATGTCTGCATTGCAAACTGAAACGCAAATAGTTCCTGTCATCTGCAATTTTTGGAAATCTGTTCATACTCCCACTTATGCACTTCGGGTTGACTCTCTATAAAAATGCAAATGACCAGCTGTCTGAAAAGAATTTAAATGCTTCCATTCCCCACCATCCAGTCAGAGCTGAAGAAGCTTCTTGGATGAGAAGCAAAATGTCTGCAAAAAAAAGCAAGAAAGTCCAGTTGCCTCTTGAAAAAACACCTTTGGAACTACCATGACCTGGATGACTGAGAATCTCCATAGACATTGTATTCTTGTATATTTAAAAAATAATTAACAGATCGTAATAGAAGTCGAATGCACCTTTTCAACACAAACAAGTCTTTGACTGGGTGGATTGTGTCTGACTCAATCTTCTGTCCAGGGAGTAGATGCTGATGGATAATTTTGAGGGTCCTGCTTGTTCTTCCTTCCTCATTTTTAAAATCAGACTTGGAGTGGACGGTGTTCACTTTGAAGAGGATTGTCCTTGATCAATGAGGACAGGTGACCATTCTACCATAATGGGAATATTAAATTATGCATCTTTCAAAATCAATATGCATCGAGACAATTCCATCATCTTCTCATCTTTAACCTAGTTTTATAACACAACATTCCTTAATGTATTTCATCTGTTGTTTTCATTCTCCTACATTTCTTTTTACTCTTCTGTTTTTCACCAAAGGGAATATGCTGATTTTTGTTAAAACCCACACCTAAAAAGAAATACTTTTAATCTGGGATGTATGTCAATAAGCAATTTTCTTGCAGCGTAAAAGAACCACAATGACCCAGTGGTTAGAATGCTGTGTTGCAGGCTGACTTTGCCCACTGCCAGGAGTTTGATATTGGTTGGGTCAAGGTTGACTTACCCTTCCATTCTTCCTATTTTAGCTATTGAGCCAGGGTGGCACAGAGGTTAGATTGCAGTACTGCAGACTACTTCTGCTGATTGCCAGCTGCCAGCAGTTCGGCAGTTCGATTCTCACTGGCTCAATGTTGATTCAGCCTTCCATCCTTTCAAAGTCAATAAAATGAGGACCCAGATTGTTGAGGGCAATGTGTTGATTCTGTAAACCACTTAGAAAGTGCTGTAAAGCAGTATGAAACAATATACAAGTCTAAATGCTACTGCTACTGCTATTCATTTCTTGCTATTGTGTGGTTGTTTGCTAGATAAAATTGTCAAACTCTAGGAAGACATCTATGATTTTAACTCTTTTCTATTGTTACCTCTGTGTGCTTAATATATGTTAAGACAGCCTGTATGTTGGCTTGGAATTCTGGAGTTGTGGTCTGTTCCTGTTTTGTGATAATGTAGGTATGACCTGTGAAAATTTGATGGAATAGTTGGTGGAATATATAGTGCAACAAACCTATGGATTGGAAACATAAGGAAAAAGAATTTAAATAGCAAGATAAAAGAATAAGATAACATTATCATTTTACGCAGAAATAGGCAGTTTTGTGGGCCAACTTTTCAAAAAGAAACTCCAGATGTGATGAATTTCACACCTGGAAAGCTGAATTTGATGTGCACTGGAATTATTGGAGGCAGGCTGCCCAAACCTATCAGCTCAGCCCAACATCGTCTGAAAGTGAGTAAAGAAAAATATCCAAGTTGTGATTTGAAGGTCCAAATAATGCTACTCGCGATACTCTCTCAAGTGCGCACAAAGATCATTCTAGAAAAATAAATAACTCCTGTCATGCGAAGTATTATATGTTGGAAAGCTTCTGTTTCATCCATAAATCATGTTCCTCTACTGTTTCTTCTGAAAATGAAGCTCCCGTGCGTAAACAGAAAGCATGACACAAATGAAAAAGTTATATTGATACCTTTGAGGGAAATAATATATTCTGCGGGGAGAGCAGCTTCTAATGTCGTTCTGTGTCCACGGCCAATTTGAACTGGGGTGGACTATTTTTGCAGCCCATAATAGACTCTGGAAACTGCAATTTTGCACTACTAAGATGTCATGGCTAAATATTGATAAGGGCTGTTTCCAGATGTTTCCAGTTGTAATACAATGACAACAACTAATCCCCAAAAGGTATTTAAGTTGTATAATAAGGTTAAGAACTCTAGGTAAATATTTTAAAAAACAACAACAGAGAACCCCCTTCACCACAACCATGTTATAAGCTTGTTTTTCTACTAGCTGTGGCTTTGTTACCCCAAACCATGATGAAAACGGGAGTCAGCAAGTGCTAAATTGTCCTCCCCTAATCTTCAAAGCATCTGTTGTCTACAGAGGCTTAGCATTAGTGTGTGGCATTCTGAGACAACTGAATGGAACAGATTTCTTCCCTATATCAATCATGTCTTTGGTTGTCATGGAACATTGAAATAATTCTTTATTCACCAATCTCAGATTGTTTGAGCCGTTAAATCTTTTTACCAGTCTCACAAAAACTCTAGCAATAGTGTGTGTGTGGGGGTGGGGGGGGAATAACAAGATTATTTCTTTTCTATCCTATGCTAACCATCTGTATGCCATTCTCTAGTGAAAGAATCCCTTGAAATTGCTCTAAGGAACTGAGAAGGGATTCAACCGCTGATCCATTTTTATCCATGTGCACTTCCAAGTTGTTAGTTCCATCAAGCTATTCAGTAGCCAGCCAGTTTGTTCCATAGGATCTCACCTGCTCATCCCTTCTTATATTTGGTGTGCAGAGTTGTTTAGTGTTCTCTGAGTGTCATTTCAGAATGTATAGTCAGGATGAGGGCTGAGCTTCTTCACACAGAAGCTTCTCAGTTTTGGGCCAAAGGTCTATCTGGTTCAAATAAGAGGCAATCTTGTCCAAAGTAGAATACTTGAGGGTTAGGAGTCTTGTTCCAATCAGGTTTCTACAAATAGATATCATAGTACCTTAATAAATGGATAAAGGAAGGACCACTAGGTTGGTGTCACTTGCCTGCAAACTTCCACGAGACCAACTGATAAGTTCTTTAGTGGCTGGAGTTTAATAGAATTCAACAAGGAAACATATTTAGAGACTTCTCCAGCCTATTTGTTGCTACAATATACTGCTTGGAAATTTCTCAGGCACATTCTTTTAGGTATAAGGCTGAAGATGAGGCTTACAGATTAGAGGGGAGAAAAATCAAGATTACCAACTTTGCACAGGAAGCCATATATTCTGTGGGGTACAAAGATTGCAACTGTAGTTGCTGATTTCATATGTAGGAAACAGGTGTAGGAAGATACGATAGTCCATTGGGTTCAAAGAAGACATGCTATAGTGCTGTTCCTCTGTGGACATGGAGGAGGCTCTGCAGTCTCAGTCTGGAAGCACATCTTCACAGTGGGAGCGCTGGAAGGACATTGTTGTTTGTAATAACCGTGGGTGTTACTCTGTGATGCCACTCATGGTCTCTTTATCCATTTTTGGCAGCACCTGCTTTCAAAGCCAGTGGGAGGCTTCCTAGCCCAGGACTTGCCAGTGGATTCTGTCAGCAGCTGCATCTTCTAGGCCTCTTCACTGGATGCCACAGTGGAGTAGGGTTTCTTTCACACCATCTTTATAGTGCTGGGCATGGTTGACCTTGAGGTCTCTTCCCAGACTTCAGTACACTATAGAACAACTGGTGAGGCATACGTTAGTCATCCTTTCTGATGTCTCACCCATCTCATCTGGGCTCCGTTAGTCCGGGACTTAATACTATTGGAATTGGTGTGATCCGAGACCTCCAATTTGGAGATACAGTCTTACCCCAAAATGCTATGGATTGAATGGAGAGAGTGCTTAAGTGAATTTTTTTTTCAGTTGTTTGATGTGCCTTCAGTACAGAGCCCAGGATTCAAACCCACATAGCAGGGAAGGAATACTTATAGCTCCAAATACTTTTAGGTTTGTAGAGATACATATGTTGTCTTGATGGAGCTCTTTAGTATGCAGCCGCCTCAGTGCCTGACTGGCCTTGCTGATCCTGGAGTTAATTTCTTTATCCAAAGACCCATAGCTTAAAATGATGCTTCCCAAATATTTGAAGCTGTTTATATTTGTTCAGCTGGGTGTCATCAACAGTTCTACAGCTTGGTATTTGGCGTGGACTGGTAATGGTAGCCAGACAACTGTAGTCATAGTCATTATATATTAGAAGGTAATTACAATTGTATTTGCTGATTTAATGTGTAGGAAGCAGGTGCAGGAAGAAAGTGAGTGTAAAACTCATCTCCAAACATATGGAGGGATCTTAGCTTAGCTTTTAGCTTAGTTTAGTACAGTTTAGCTTAGATAAGCTTAGCTTTGTTTGAAGGGCACTGAATCGTGCCATCCACCCACTAGTAATGCAAATTGGCACAACCCAAGATTCAAGAATAAGCCTTGCTAGAATAAGCCATGCAAGTAACTCCCATGCAGTATGTAGACATTCATCCAGCTCAGTTTATGAATGTGAAGCTTGACCAGTCTAGTATCTTTCTTCCATGAATCATGTTTTGTTAGAGCTGCGACTTGACTAAAAATGGGTTAAAGATTGACCCAAATTTTCGGTCAGAAAATTTTCATGAAATTGACCCCTCACTTTCACTTTAACCCCAACTGGGTTACATCAAATAGCATTTTTATTTGGGCAAAAAATTCACCAGCATTTTTACTTGGGAAAAAATTCTCACTGCGTGAGACCAGTTCTGAATAAGAAATACACAGGATTGAGCTGTATTTTCTTAGATTCCCCCCCCATACCACTCTCCCTGAAAGACAAAAAAGGAAGGCAGTGCAAAAAGCTTTGAGGGACTTAAAAAAAAATGAAGTCCCTTCAGATCTTTGCAAGACATTCTCATTTTTAAAAAGAAAAGAAATTCAGACCAAAAAGAAAGCTTTTCAGTTTTAAAAATAGGTTTGCTTGAAGTAGCACAGTCCGACAGTATATTTTTGGCCAAGCACCATGAAAGACTGCCCTCTCTTTGGAAAGATATTTATTTTTACTGCACTTCTTGAATAAAGAAGCTTACTGGACAAGTAATCCAGTCTATCTCACAAAAGTTGAAGTTCTGAACGCATACAATTCTTCTCCTGTAGGTCAGAGGAGGCAAGGATTTTAATGTCTGCAATCCTTCTGAATCTCCCAACATTTAAAAAGCCAAACGCAGAACAAGGTTTTCTGGAATAAAATGACAGCAGTTTTGGTCCTCCTTCCATCCTCTCCTCAAGGAAGATGATTTCAAAGTCTTAAGAGTATCTCATAAACTCAGTTTCCTTTGCATGTGTAGGATGTGGAATGGTTTAAATTACTCAGAGGGGAGGAAGTATTTATGGGTTTCCATAGTGCCCCAAGACTTTTCTATTATGTGGTTATTCCACAGCTGACAAATGAGGATTTTAACCAGAATACTTATACTTATTCCCCTGTAGTATGTAGATCAGGAGTGACGAACTCACATCGTCACATCGTCGTCACGTGACGTATCCTGACTTTCCCCCCCTTTGCTAAACTGGGCATGGGTGTGGCCAGCATGTGACACATCCGGTCCACGAGTTTGACAGCCTAATGTAGATAGTCTCAATTCTCTTCCTTCCCTTTCCATATGACATGTTGGAGACTCACATTAATTCCACAATATCGCCTTGAATGATCACTGTTAATATATTTCTTCCCTCTTTAAGCCATTTATTTTTGTTGTATATATGCACACATGCAAGCATGCAAAACTTGTTCAGGTGAGATGAAAAGTGTTTTTGCTTTTTGGGCAATCTGAGAGAAATAGTAAACAACTGCCAAGAGACACTTATTGTGAGTGGGAGGCTACCACATGAAAGACACACAGAGAGAAATTCCTCTAACACTAAATAAACATGTCAACTTTCTGACTGTGATGACAGAGTGACTTCTAATTTTATTCTCGTGAGGTATAACATTTATGAATGCACTTCAGGTTAATTAATGCCTGCCAGAAGTTGCTAGAAATGAACTCCAAAAAATAGATTCAGACTCTCGACCAGGGATTAGTGGACCCCAGTAAATATTTTGGATTTTCTGTCCATATTTAGAGGCAGATTGCTGAACTGTAAATATATATAGGTATACATGTAGAATAGAATACTTTATACTTAATTTGGCCAAGTGTGATTAGGGAATTGGTCTCCAGTGCAGAAACTCTGAGTGTACATACAAAACAATAGAGTAATAATAATCACAATAATGATATCAATAAGATGATGTAGTAGAGAACATGAGAAGGATAATTATAATATTACAGCCATACTACATGGCTAAGCTTATACTTAGACCTAAGACAGTACTTAAGGGAATTAGAGAATTTATATAGACATAAAACCACTTGCATTAAACCAAACCAAACTGCAGATGAAAATTTGAGGGCAAATAAGGATTGCAATTTTTTTTCAATGCTTTTCATTCATTTTGGGAATTTCCCATGTAGCAGAAAAGAGAGAAATGGAGCTCACTGGAGAGATAATTCTATATTCTATGGGTCTGGGGGATTACGGGGAGGATAGGAAAACAATGAAAGGGCAAGCAGACAAACTATCAATACTTTGTGGGGTCTTGATAGTGGTAATATCATCAGTGATAGAAGGCAGTGGGGTTTGCTTTCATTTGTATAGCAGTGGCTTATCCTATCAGTGTTGGTGGAACTGGTTTTGGTGATTCCTTCATTAGGCTGTTGTTTATTATTAGCTTGTTTGTCAGAATCGATGGTTCTTGAATGGGTTATTGTTTACTTCTTGATCGCTGGTCTTGTGCTGATCTTGGTGTTAATGTCTACTCATCTGGGTGTTGATTTTTGGTGTGGAGATATTTGGGTCCTTTTGTTTTCTGTTTTTGGCTTTTGATTGACTCTTTTGAATGGTATGTAGATATTGTTTATGTGCCTGTTGATGGACGATTTGTCTGAGTGTCAGGCTTCCAGGAACTCTAGCATTTCTGGACTTGATTCGATCTAGGATGCTAACAGTGTTCCAGTTGAAAGTATGGTTAAATCTGTCTCTGTGTTGTGAAATTAAGGAGTTTTCATCATATCTTCTGACTGCTACTTAATGTTCATGGGTGTGCTCTGCTAGTCTTCTGCCTGTTGGTCCTTCATAGTGACTGTTATAGTCCTTAAACTGTACGTGTAGATGATGATGATGTAGGAAAAACACACTGTATGGTGTTTCTTCATGTGGGGCTGCCGGGTTTTTGGGTTTACTTAGGATGTTTGGTTTACTTTCTTCCTGTTTCTTTCTTTCTTTAGAAGGCACAGGAGCATCAGGGTAGCAGAAATAAAGATACCCCATCGAGTTATTTGTCTTACATTTAACTTTGAGGCTTAACAGGTAGATTACACTTTGTGAAATGTTGCAAGATGACAAGATTCTTTGGGAATTGAAATCAGCTGTTGAAGCTGATTCAGGATTCCAGTTTGGCTGCTGAAATCAAATGAACCCCGCAAGGGGGCTACCCCCAAGCAACTTTAGCAAATGTTACAGGTGGTTTTTGTTGTGGTTCCTGTGCAACTTTACAGCATGGCATCAGCGTCTAAATTCGGTGCCTGTGGATTCCTGCCCATGAGCGTGTCTTTTTCCTGGTCAATGTAGTTAAACATCAGCATGAGGTCTAGAACTAGCTTGACTCTCTCCCCATCTTTTTAGTTAGCAAGGTCAGTTAGCGAGGTCAG